TTTGCTGTGGCCTGTTGGAGCACGCGCTGCCCATCGTCAAAATCGACGGGGAACTGTCGGCTTAGACTGGGTTCCAACGGCGACGGCCCCTTCTAATCCCCTGCATGCGTAGATCTTGTTTTGTTTGTCATGGGGGCAATTAGTGCTGTGGCGCGCGCAGACGGCTTCACCGATCTTGTCAGCCCCTGCGCCCATCTCTCAACAGACAAATGACTGGCTTGGACGTTGATCTGATGCTGGTGGTAGGGAAGAGAGTGAGGTCGACGGCTCAGTGCATTTCTCTCCTCATTATAAACAATCTCACACGCTTTAAGCCATCACGGTGCGCCAAAAGCTGTGGTTTTGGGAGGTTACGAACTGATGGGATAACTCCGACCACGCGCTCATACCTGTGTGTTTTGAGTTGTGCGGAGTGGTCGACTGAAGGCTGCAATGGCTTCTTCTTAACGTGGCATTTATGACACTCCCCACAGCTGTAATCCGAGATAGGTGTGGCGACTTCGATCGTGCCAGCTACCTGCGCCCGATCCCGGCTCCTGTCTTCTTGCCTCTGTCTTGATCCCGGGCCCAGGTGGGCTAGAGAAGAAAGAGGGCGATAGTTACAGTGCAAGTTCACATCGTCGAAACCGATGGTAGAACTGTCATTTGGCTTGGCTTCCTAAACGAGCCGCATGGTAGACGGGCTGGTTAAACATGGGGGCTAGACCGCGGCACGGCAGGCTCTATTTGGGATGCGCTCCCCATAACAGATACAGAAATTGGAGAGCAGGGCGAGGTGGCACGCCTAGATGCGGTGGTTCTTTCTTCACACCGGATTCAAAGGTTTAAGGGAAGCGCAACTGCCGTAGATGCAATGCAAGTCTATCATCGCTTAAATATTATTCAAACGCAAGTCACCCTCTCTGTGTCACGGTGCTGTGGGGTACACGGTGGACCTCGTCGGACACGAGGATCCAGCTGTCGTGTGTATTTGACTGCCTCAAAGGGCCACACAGTATACGCGCTGGACCAACACGGAGGTCAGTTCAGGGCACAGTAGGCGTTATAAAGGATAAACAAAGGGAAGTGTTGCTCCTTCGCTGTATTTGAAATTGTTTGCGAAATTTTATTTACCAAATTACCAAGGATTTCCGAGAGTCGTCATGACTACGGGCTTCTCGCTTCCTCTACTGTTTGTTCTTACCCTTGGGTGAGTTCAGGTCAGTCCTGACGCTAGACCACTTGAGAGTCTCCTTCGAAGCGCCTTTTGTGTTTCACTACAATTGGAATGACGTAGCTTGCTGCGGTGAGGATGTCCTTGCCGCATTCCCAGGCGTGTCTTGCACCATGA